AAATACAAGAAGTTGAAGATGATAAAGGAAGTGAAGACTTGTTGGCATCCGATCACAATGATGATGATGATGATGCATTTTCAATTGAAATTGAAGATTGAGTTCAAAATGGATGTTAGAAATTTGGATTAGAAGTCTCTTTGGTGTTTAAAGTTTGAATTAGTGAACTATGGTTGTGAACTTTGCATTATAATAGTAGTGGATTATGTTGATAACTTGAATAGTTGGTGGAGTATTAATGAAATGCTATATTTTTTATGAGTGTATGACTTTTTTTCAAAGGTATATATATTTTTTTATTATTTATTTAAAATTGCATCGTATCTTACGATACACGATACGATACACGATACGATACAATATTTGTATCTTACGATACGCCTTCCGATACACGATTTGATAACTATGCCCCGGTGGAGTTCCCGAATACATGTCTTCTTTTTTCTTCTAAGGGGTGAATATTTGCCAAGGTGGAGATTGTTAGAGTATGTGTGACTCATATTTGCTATGTGCATAATGGCTAAGGAGGCAGATGCNGCCAAGGTGGAGATTGTTAGAGTATGTGTGGCTCATATTTGTTGTGTGCATAATGGCTAAGGAGGCAGATGCTGGAGCGGAGCCCGTGACGACATCTGCCTTGCGGGATTTATATAAAGGGGACGCTGATTAGTTGGGGGTGTGGGGGCAACGCCCCCGCGGTACGGTACAGGGGTATTTTTGTAAATACGTCCATATTAGGGTTATATAAATACTTAAGATGTAACCCTACTTCAATAATGGAAAAGAACGACCGCTCGCTCTCGTGGATGTAGGCACATTGCCGAACCACGTAAATCTCTGTGTGTTATTTTCTCCTACTTTCTTAATTGTTTGATTCCTTACTATTCACCATAATTGCTGCACGATCACAACAATTGATTAGGCGTTGGGGTGAGAAAAAGTTGAACATGATAAGCATTAAGTAAGATCCCATTGACTTAAAATTTTAGTTCATTTTTAAGTAGAGCTTATTTCATTAAGTGATACCAGTTGTACATTATCAAACGGGTTTAATTTAAAAATCACTGAACTTTTCAGTTTTAATTGCTTAATTAGGTTATCAACCAGGCCCTTAGACTATGAATTGTAATGTACTAAAGCAGTGGATCACAACATAAACATAATTCAGTTCACAATATCATTCTGCTAGAGTTTTTTAATCATATCTCATTTTTTGTTTTGCTACCTGAAAACCCAAAATACTCATCTATGAGAGTAAATTTGTGCTTCAACAAATTACTCCACCCAACTGACTTCTAGTAATGGTGATACAACTTCCTTATTTTTATTTTCGCAATATTGATGAATGTAGAATAATATATTTGCTCAAGACATGCACATGTAGAAACACCATTATAAAATGTCAGCAATTATGTTAGCTTTACAAATTTACTACTTTCTTTTCTTTTCTTTTCTTTTCTTTTTTTTTTTAACACATGCACAGCTAATCTAACTTGCACACAAACCCATAGACACATTGTGCGGAGCTTCTGACTAATATGAAAAAAAAAAAAAGGAAGACCTATGAGGACAGTCGAAAAAAAAATATATGCCCCATATAACAGCAGCTCCATTTCAAGAATAATGACAATATATGCACAGCCATATAATATAAATGTCTCATAATCATGCGAAAAAAAATCATTCTAAAAAGGTGAGACATGCAGGTTAAAGAGTTCGTGAATGGAAAGCCATTAAAAACAATATATTGTGAATTTGTGCTAAATTTTACCTTCTCCTGGACGGGAATTTTGTGATCGAAAATTTGTGCTGCCTCTTGAGCAAGTATGTGTTTGGGCCTATGGCTCTCAGTTTTTGCTCTTTCCAACTTAATCTGACTTGAAGGTGGTTCTTCTTCGTTAGAATTCAAAATCTCAGGGGGCAATGTATTTATTCTAGAAAAATTCCTGCCATCAGTCCCTGCACGTCTATCCTAATGGATTTCAGATGAGCCAATTCGGACGGTCTCAAATTAACGGAACAAAATTCCAAAACATTGATCTATATTTCCTAGGTTCCAACGATAATCACTCCTATTTTTATTTTCTTTTTTTATTTTTTATTTTCTACTAGTTTCTCGTCTCACAGACAGAATTCGTATAGAAACTCTAAACGTTCGGTGAATCAGACAAACCTGAAGAGTCACGGTTACTGTTGGAAAGTTGGCCATCACGAAGAGCCTCTCCATTATCCATTACACCACCACTCCTGCTACTTACTGATTTTTCAAACTTGACTGATATTTCGCCGGAGCTCGTAGAAGATCTAGCCTCATTATTCTTTGCCTGCGAATCGGCCATCGGTGGCGCTACCGACTCCGGAGAACTCTTTCTCCAAAGTCTCTCTTGTCGATCCTGATGTGCAGAACCTTCCTAAAAAAAAAAATCCATAAAATCGATAAAGAAATCCATAAATCATAAGTCTCTTTCTTTATTTGTATAAAGAAATCCATAAAATCGAGATAGTTCGCCGAAGCGAGGGCTGTTCTTAACTGAGAGAGAGAAGACGTTCGAAGGAGTAGGAGTGAGGGGTCTGAGATTGTGGACGAATCGACCAGAGGACACAGTAACCGCAAGGAAAGGATATAGAAATAGAAGCCAGTGGCGGTGTAATTAATAAGACATAATCGGTAATAATTTGCCTTAACGGTGAGGTTTTGATTACGATATTATTATTGTGCCCTTACTTGGTCAATTTCAGTTACGAAAATGTCCCCAATTCTGCCAGTTACATAAATGGTAAATATCGCCTACAGATCGACCAGTTTCCTAAATGGTCCAGCAGGGCTGATTGGACGAAAAGATTTTAATGAAGCAAATTATACTTTGACCCCACTTNCTATCATTGATAATTTATTTTTTTCAAATGCGTAAATATTTGATTTATTTTTTCATTTATCTTTCTCCTCATATTTTCTTTAATCGTTTCTCTTTCCCCCTATTTTCTCTCTTTATTTATATCAACATTACAAAAACACAGTTACACTAATCAGTTACAATTGTCTTATAATACACCATATAGTTATTCATGCATTCTAATAAACCAAATAGTTACACCAAACAATTACATAAAATTATGAGGTTAACTTAATTTGTCATTCAATTGTTTACATAAACTAAATAGNTGAGGTTAACTTAATTTGTCATTCAATTGTTTACATAAACTAAATAATTACACTATATAAATATCGTGACATTGTTACACCAATTATATATACCAAGTTTAGTATAATGGTAAAGTCTTTTGTGTATTGATAAACTCAATTTGGTGTATATAATTGGTGTAACCATATCATAATACTAAATGGTGTAACTTTTTTATTTAAATAAATAACCAAATGATAAATTGGGTTGATATTGTAATTTCGTATAATTGTTTAGTGTAACTATTTGATTTATTATAAGGTAATTGTAACTAATTGATATAATTATGTTCTTGTAACGTTGATATAAGAAAAGAGATATAAATGGAGATAATAAAGAAATAAGGGGAGTGGGAGTGAGAGAGATAAAAAAATTAAATCAAATTTTTACATATTTAAAAAAATAAAATAAATGATCAATATGAGAGAATAATAGAGTAATAAATGACATGTTATTATTTTTTCAAAAAAATGCACTTAGTACTAAATAGGTTTTTTAATATAGTTTAGTTTAGATAAGTCTAAACTTTTGTATCAACTTCTAAATTATTCAACATTTTATTGGGTTGGTCTAGGTTGGGCCTCCATTAATATTCATGAGACTCCGAATATTTCGGGTTGGTTACTGGGNGGAGTGAGGGGTCTGAGATTGTGGACGAATCGACCAGAGGACACAGTAACCGCAAGGAAAGGATATAGAAATAGAAGCCAGTGGCGGTGTAATTAATAAGACATAATCGGTAATAATTTGCCTTAACGGTGAGGTTTTGATTACGATATTATTATTGTGCCCTTACTTGGTCAATTTCAGTTACGAAAATGTCCCCAATTCTGCCAGTTACATAAATGGTAAATATCGCCTACAGATCGACCAGTTTCCTAAATGGTCCAGCAGGGCTGATTGGACGAAAAGATTTTAATGAAGCAAATTATACTTTGACCCCACTTAATTATGGCTCTTCTTTCAAATTATCCCTTTAACTATCATATTTTCTATATTTCACCTTTAACTATATAATTAATTTTACATCACTTCAATTATTAAATTTCGTTACACATTTAAAAAAAAAATATTTTGGTTGCCCATTAAAATAAGTATTTGTTTTCACTTTGCATCAATACAGTAACAATTTCTATCAAAAAAGATAATAGGCATCTGTGATTAGAGAAATGTGAAATAATTCAAATAGTTTAGGGATCAATATTAAATTAAATAATTAAAGGGGCAAAATAAAATTAAATCCATAGTTTAAGGAATCCAAGTATCTTTTAACCCCAAATTTTATGATTTGATCGTTTAAGGAGACAGATCTGTTTCGGTGGCTTTTTTTTATTCTCTTTCAGTTTTTGAAAGGTACGTGGCTAATGCGAGCATAAGTATTATTCAACGGGCTCGGACAAGGTTACAAACATTCGACTTTCGGCGCGTGGTGTAGATATCAGTTTGGCTTTGTCTTCTTTTTAAATGAGATTGCGTAGGCTCGTAGCAGGGAATCTAAATTTAACGGTGTGATAACCGTGGTCCTCACGGTTCTTGTCGATGTATGCCGGCGGGGAACAGCGAGGATCCACTGGCACGAGTGGGAATCTTTTTTAGCGCATTAATCAGTAAAAGCTATATCAATCGTACGGTCCGGATTGTTTGAGAACATTTTAGGGTTTTTTTGATCGTGGTTGTAATTTTTTAGATTTATTTAAAGAAAAGTGTGGTTATTCTATTAAATTCAATTTTAATAAAATATATTGCATTCATGTACAAAATTCAATAAAATTTTTTACTTAAATATCCTCCCTTAAATTATATATATTATTAATTTACAGTTATATATCTAATCAAATACATAAAAATTTATAAGACTCTCCCTTATTTTCTCTCCATCTCTCTCTCCCTCCCCATTACTCTCCTCGTCTCTCCCTTATTTTCTCCATCTATCTATCATTGATAATTTATTTTTTTCAAATGCGTAAATATTTGATTTATTTTTTCATCTCTCTTTCTCCTCATATTTTCTTTAACTGTTTCTCTTTCCCCATATTTTCTCTCTTTATTTATATCAACATTACAAAAACACAGTTACACTAATTAGTTATAATTGTCTTATAATACACCATATAGTTATTCATGCATTCTAATAAACCAAATAGTTACACTAAACAATTACATAAAATTATGAGGTTAACTTAATTTGTCATTCAATTGTTTACATAAACTAAATAATTACACTATATAAATATCGTGACATTGTTACACCAATTATATATACCAAGTTTAGTATAATGGTAAAGTCTTTTGTGTATTGATAAACTCAATTTGGTGTAACCATATCATAATACTAAATGGTGTAACTTTTTTATTTATATAAATAACCAAATGATAAATTGGGTTGATATTGTAATTTCGTATAATTGTTTAGTGTAACTATTTGATTTATTATAAGGTAATTGTAACTAATTGATATAATTATGTTATTGTAACGTTGATATAATAAGAGAGATATAAATGGAGATAATAAAGAAATAAGGGGAGTGGGAGTGAGAGAGATAAAAAAATTAAATCAAATTTTTACATATTTAAAAAAAATAAATAAATGATCAATATGAGAGAATAATAGAGTAATAAATGACATGTTATTATTTTTTCAAAAAAATGCACTTAGTACTAAATAGGTTTATTAATATAGTTTAGTTTAGATAAGTCTAAACTTTTGTATCAACTTCTAAATTATTCAACATTTTATTGGGTTGGTCTAGGTTGGGCCTCCATTAATATTCATGAGACTCCGAATATTTCGGGTTGGTTACTGGGCCATTATAACGAGTGGTGTTGGGCTGGGCCTAATATGAAGTGTTTTGTTCCCAGTTGCTAGCTGGCCAGTCACCAGATCAAATCCAGATCGTTCTATTCTAAACTATTATTGGCAATGGCATCGTGCGATATATAGGAAAATTGCATGCATCCTTTTTCCTCCCTGTTCACTTTCCACTTCGTTTTTTTATTATCATCATATCATATGAAAAATTAGAAAAAAAAATAAAGTAATTAAATAATTATTATAAAAAGTGATGGTCATAAAACTATATTTTTTAAAAATTTAAATTAATGACTAATTTTTTAAAAAATTTTAAATGAATGATAGTTAATTAGTAGGGTAGATGAGTAGTTACACGAGAGATGTGTTTGAATATAACTAGTAAAAATTATGTATGAAAATTAAATAATTGAATACTATTAAAAAATGAGGAGGATGACTTTTCAAGTAGGATTAATAATCAAGCCGAACAACTTGAACTCAGGCTCGTGTTGTACTCAGTTCGAGCTCGATTCTTTTATCATTTTCTAAGTAAACTGAGCCTAAACGATTTTTTTTAAGCTAGCATAAAAGGCTTAATTCAAGTTCGTAAAATTTAGTTCGTTTATATGTAAAATAATCAAATTACTCGGATTAAACTTATTTTTTGATTTATTCGAGCTCGGCTCATTATTTAAACGAGACAATCTTAAATAATTTTTTAGGCTCATTTAAAAAAACTAGCTCGACAGGCTAAGTTCGCTTATCAACCTTATTCTCAATACATCTTCCACCTAATTTAATTACTTTATATATATATAGTATAGATTTGATTTAAAAAGTAAAAAAAGGAATGTGATCAAAAAATTAGTGGATTTTATTTTTATATATTATTCCCAAATTTATTTGAATAGAAATTTGATCCCAAAAAAAAATTCAGTCTAAATAAATCAATTAAATATGACTTTTAGCAAGTTACATTTGAGCTTTCAACCCAATTTCATTATTTAGTGATTTAATATCTCCATTCATATAAATATTTTGAATGGTATTGAATATTGAAATATAATCTAATCTAAATCAATAAAATATAATACTACAAATTTCCAAATGACAACCCAACTTCTATTAGTGGATTTAAATTCAAATTCAAATTAAAACACTGCTGTGTGTTTTTATTAATTTGAACTGCTAAATATTTTCAATGATTCGACAACCGTGGCAAGAGCTGAATAGTACAAAGAAAATTGGCGATGCATGTCATGCATATGCGCGCTACCCACCAACGCTGATTAATGCATTTGTGGCGGCCCTACAAGCTGGAACTGGACGGCATGGAATTAGAGAACAAGAGAACGTGCAGGGCCGTCCGTGCGCAAATTTCGTGATTCGTGGGAAGCAATAATAGCACGAATAAACCTCGACCGGAACCGACATTCA